ATTTTGCCCACCCCTGAGTTAGCTGCTTAGGTACCACCCTGCCCTGCTGCCTGACCACAACTAGCTTCCTTTCTATAGCTATCAATATAGATATCAATATCAATATTGATTAGATCAGTATTTACTCCTCCATTAGACAAGCTCAACCTGATTTTGTGATATCTATACAAATTCTGTCACCTTTATTACTGACCTGAGCCGCAGAATGAATCACAGTGAACAAGCAACCCTTATAATCTTTATAATAAAAAAGTGAACAAAGAGACAAACACTATTAGGCAAATGACACAATGCCATATGCCTAGAAGAGACAGGAACTAACTCCTGTCTGGAAACAGTGCCTGTATACATCCAGTTGCTATCACATAAGGAAGGGCTGTATCATTATACAAAAGATAATGGTTCAAATTCCTCAGAACATGCCATTATTCACCACTGTAACAATCCTGCTGCATGCATATAGGTGGAATGGCTACAAAAACATCCCTCAAAAGGAGCAGCAGCAGCAGCTTCAAGGCAAACAGACAAGGTACAGAGGCTCCTGAGATACAATAAGCTATTCCTCTATTTTGCCCAGATAATTAATTTGAACTTCAACTCAACTTTGAATCCTCTCCCATAACTTAAGAATTTAAACAAAGGGCAGTGTCTGGGTATTCTATCCATCTAGTCCTCATGGTGGAGTTAGTGCTATCAAAGTTTAAAACTAAAAGTTTAAGACCTAAGGAACCAAAACATTATTCTTAGACCTCAATCATATAACCAGAATAACAAAAAACAATACTCCTGTCACATAATAAGGAATAGCATTTGCTGACTGCAGAACTATTACCAAAATTACCATGATAGAATCAGAGTCCATTTACCTTTTGGATGCCCTGGGCTAAGGTTCAGTTTTGGGCCCCTGTTCTTTACTAGAAGATGTATGCATTATATAACCATAATGCAACAGAGGCTCCTGACCCCTTTGGGGCACCATAAAGATGAACAGTTTGCACTGCCCAAATGCCACCACTGGGTTAAACACAAAGGCAGGTTAG